ATCAAATTTTTTTCCTTGAAACCTACGAAATAAATTTTTCAAAGGATAATTCAACAGTTATCATTAGTTAAATTGGTAGGTTATCTTGTAGCAGAATAATCTTCTTCTTCTTTGTCAACCTCTATCCATCCACTCCTGGATGCAGGTCTCTCCTAATAGGTTCCATCTTCCTCGATCTTCACCTTTTTTAAGGTGTTCCCGTGCTTCTTGTTGTGTCCCTTGGTCTTCATTACAGTCTTCTTCGTGTCCATCTGTCTTCATCGATCTGGCTATGTGGCCATCCCACTTCATCTTTGCTACCTCCTCCACAATGTCCCTGACCTTCGTTTTGCCTCTTATCTCCGTCAATCTCGGTGTTTCTTATTTTTTCTCTAAGTGATATTCCAAATATGTTTCTCACCATCGCTCTCTGAGTGGTTTCTAATTTTTAAATTCCAATAAACTATAATAATTAAACTCTTATTTGCCGATCTTGACAGAAAGGCGCATGCATGCAGGATTTCAAATGTAATTCACGTCTACCTTGGTGGTGCTTCTATGACAAAGACTTTTGAATGATTCATATCTTTATTTTTCATTTTTTATTTATCCACTCTATGATACTGTCCGCCCAGGAAACCCTTAAATGAGGCGAAAAAGGAGAAAAGCTACAAACATGTCTCAACCTTAGAGCAGGTAAAGGTAAAGGAGTAGTAACATGTAGTTGGGAAATGAAGCCGTTTTTTTCCAGGTATTTTGGCACCAAAAAATGCGGTATGGGCAGTTCAATGCTTTACCTGTCTTTTGGTGCCAAACACCTGCCAAAAACTGGCTTCACTTTAGTTTCATAGCAGAATGGCGCGTTCTTACTCCTACATAGAACAGCGCTTTACCTGATCTAAGCTCTCAACAAAGAGATGAAATTTACTCACATCGAAAATATGGATTCGTTGCATAGGTAGGTACCTAGCTATAATAAGAGACATTTTCGGTAAGGAAACTATTAAGATCTTTTTCGATATCACGGAAAACTATGAGCATATGATGATTTTTAAGCAAAATCAAGCAAGAAAACACTTGACGAGGGTGTGCATTCTTCTCATTCTTTCGCCGGGTGATCTAATCGTGCGAACCTAGAGTACCTAACTACCTTACCAAATCGGCGGCTTGTTCTAGGGACGACCTCCCAAAAACTTCAATAAATGCCTCCTGAAAGTCGTACAACCTGGGTGAAAAATAATAAACATAACCTTATTTCAAAAATAAAAGTATAATAACCCTACACAGGCCAATGAAAGTACCTCGACAACAAACGTTTTTCAAAATAGTGAATAGTGAAAACCATTAAACTATAGGTAACACCAAATCTCAAGGGACACAGCTTTTCAGAAATTTTAAAAATTTCAAAATATGTAGGATTATTTCTTTTTTATTTTATATTTGGAAAACTGTAAGTAAACCTGAACTTCATCATTATGGAAATATCACGAACTTCGAAAATGAGAGAAAAATAAACCGAGTGGGTATTATCAATGAAAAAACGCCAAATCAATCGCTTGAACTTGTCTAGAATTTTCCGATATTTACTAGTTCGCAAATTCTCCGCACTTCATTATTTCTAGTAAGAGAAAATTGCTCTAAAGCTGGCATTAAAGTGAAATGCTAAAAGCTGAAAAATACTGCTGGGTTTGTAGCTTTTTCCTATCTCTCGCTGTGAAATAAAAAACGACGAAATTTATTCATTCGAAAAAATGCTGAACACGGGAATGTGGCGTTTGTTAACCTGTATCCATTTCATCAGATTGGTTACTTTTACAGTACCTATTTTGTTAGTTCTAAAAATTAAAAATTTCAAAAGGATTTTACCTTTGCCTACATAGTTTTTCGAAATTCTCAGATAATTTTGCATTCAAGGCTGTTTTCTTTTGAAAATTACATTCGTTAATTTTAAATTCGTGCAGTTTTTTGACAACGCGCTTCCATGCAAAATTATCGAGAATTTTGGTGTAGGTGATTGTACAATCAACCTCGATAATATATAATAGGACTATCATCAACACAGCTTCACAAACGCTCGAGAGAATTGTGAATTTATTTTCGAGCACTCAATTGTAATGCAAAGACACATCATCAGCCTGGTTTATCCGTAAGGTTCTAGGAATGGTTCTGATCATAATGATCTTCTTGGTACTTAGTCCCATGGTGCTCTTTCGCGGTTGTAGTCGGGACATTGCCGTTTTCGATTTGTTTTGTGCTTCTTTGATTTGACTTTTTCACACGAGTTTATCGTCCATCGTGAGATCTAAGTACTCGACTTCGTTGTTCCATGGTATATCCCTCGCGCTCAATTTCTAGTGAGGTATTCTTTGGAATAATGTAGCGCGGCTCTTCTGTGCATTAATCTTGATCTTTCAATTACTACACCATGGATAGATTAAGTCCATTTATTCCTGGAGTCTCTTACTGATCCATTCAGCGGATGTGCGCTCAGCTAGTAGGGCACAATCGACTACGCAAAGGGTGATATTTGTCTCGGCGGTCTTTGGAATGCCGTAAGGGTACATGGTCCTCTCACCGACCCTTGGGGTATTCCTGCTATTAGCCTTCTCGTTCTCGAGCGTTGTCGATCCATTCTAACTGAATAAGTTCGGTCTGCCAAGTAGCTTTGAATCAGCTTCCATGTTTTCTCTTGGTATCCGGATTGTATCATTATGCCATATTTGCTCGTTCTATGTCAAGCAAAACTTCTCCTGTGGCGCTTCTCCAGTTAAGTCCATTGGTGACTTGGTTCAATATTCTAAAAGCTTTCAGATCAGTATAGTCACCAGCTCGAAAGCGAAATTCTTTTTCTGGAATCGAATCGAGCAATGCAGTTTTCTTTTCTACTTTGAATTTGATGGTTCACCCTGGCACCTTGGTCAGAAAGAGTCGAGCGACTAATGGGACCGTATATCTCTGAGTGAACTTCTTGTACTTTTTGCATCCGTAAGATTGATCAAATCCGCGTGGCTTCATCAATGTAGGAAGTGATCCAGTCCCAAGTTGGAATTGATGATCTTGGTTAAGGCAATTACAACATTTCTGGGCATCTTTATCATCTTGAAACTAAAATTGCATTCCGGCCTGGTGCATGCCGGGCCTTGTGCATGCCGGGCCTGGCGCGATTGCTGCTACGCCTCTTCCAGTTTAAGTAGACTCTCGGCGGAATAATCGATGCAGTATCTGTGATTGCCTTCCAAGTGTTCATTAAGGTCTACCTGGTGTTAGGCTTAAGCTGATTGAATTGTCCTCTGATCAATGGCTCGCCCCCATTATCAATGATACCGGGATTGGGATCCGATGTATCTTCCTCAATCGTTCATATTTGATTGTAATCTGTGGCATTCTTTAAAATTGCTATTCGTTCAGCACAGTAGGACTTCTTCCTCCTGGCGTTGAGTTACAACTGGTGGAGTTCTAGACCGGGGATTTACAGTAAAAGTCACCAATTATGATGGTGGCAATCCTATCTTAGAGCAGACTCTGCATGTCTTCTTGGAGTTGAATAATATATCCAGTGGTTGTTTTCACGCTGAACTGATCCCGATCGACCTGTGATAATCTTGTCTATAGTGACTTACTGTATGTCGTCACCATCATTTTTTATTCCATATAAGTATTCTAGACTTATTTCAACCAATATTGCTAGGTACTCCATCGCTGATGGTTAAACGGTAGGTATGTCTTACAACCGACAAAATACTCTAAATGCATTCGAACACGGATATGAAGCATTGGTCTAGAACTCACCACGGATGATACAAAAATCCCATATCAGCTTGTTCCCAATACTAATGCACTCTAAGGATGTTAAATCTGGGCCGCCTACAAGCCAAACCTAAGGTGCTGGTACTGCTCGTACTACTACGATGTTTAAGAAGAATACTTAAGAATAACCTGGAAGGATAGCCGAAGGAACATCAGTATCCTTGAGAAATCCAATTCCACCAGCATTGAGTTTCTGTTCATTTCACTAGTCTCGTCCGCATGCCAGACTCAAACTGCAAACTATGTATTCGCAAGTGGAGAATGGACAATGCAACCAAGGAGGACAATTCAAATGATACACAGATGTCCTCAAGAGAGACATGAAGGCATGTAGTTATCAACGCTCGCAGTATTTTGAACGACAAAGACTAAGTGGCGGCAACAAACGGAATCGTAAAAAAGAACAAAGTCTGATAATAGCTGGTCCTGACTAGTTGTGTAATCAATGTGGAAATAATTCAATGTGAGAAAAAGTGAGGCACCAGAATAGGCTCAGTAGGCCATCAAATCATCCACAGATAATGATTCTGTCAAGAGACTTACTCTACTCGTTATCGAGTTAATGCCAATGGTGAGCAATTGTCATTAAAAATATTCAATTTATTGTCTGTTCTATTTGATCGAATCCAATGGTTCTGAAACTTTCGCTATAGTAGAATTTTATCAGGAGCTCTATGATATTTTTCTTTTATTCCAGAGTCAGTTGATTCTTCTATTTCTTGAATGATGATTACTTACCAACTTATTTATTTTCTTAGCCGTTTTTTTTTTCTTCTTCTTTGTTTTCAAAAAGTGTTTCGTTGCTGCATTTATCCTGAAATATTAAGCGTTTCAAGAGTTTCCAAAGTTTATTTACTGATAGTGTGCGCTAGAGTTGACTCTAAAATAATTTATATAGTGCTCTATATGTTGCTAAAAAATTGTGTGTGGGGATACAGCCAATAATAATGTACTCTATATATCTAAATGTATATATAAATTAGCTCTCTATACATATTTTCATCTATTTCGCCTTACTATATCAATTTATTTTCTCGTAAGTTGGTTAACTCCCTCAAATCTTTCATTAATTTTTCAATCATCTGTTTGTTCAATTACCCACAGTAGTAATTTCCTATTTATAAACTAGCTGCTGATTAAGGATAGTTATGTCATCAAAACAGATAAATATCTATGTATGGTTATCTTATAATAATTATTGCTCTAAGTAACAGAAAATTTATAGGATTCGCATTTCGCAACGAAAAGAACTTGGGTAAGATAATATTTTTCGATAATTTATAGGATAGCTAATAAATTATTTGCTCCTGGATACACATAAAACGACTTTGGGCAATGATAGTTTGTTTCGAGCCGGAATGGAGGTAAAACTTTGGAAGTCACTCGCGCATATTTATAATTCAGGACTTTGTTTGTGTGCATAAGGATTCATTTAATATATTATGAGAGGAAGCACTTTTATCAACGTGAATAGGTAAGTAATTATGAAGTGAGTGAATCTTAATGTATTACGTAAGTTAGTAAATAGTACCTACCTAACTTCTTTCTTGATAATCTATGAAAAAACTAAATAATTGTTTAGTAAAAGAAATTAAATATCACGGTAAATTAATTGAAAAAGTTTAAATTAAAGACTAGAAAACTTCATCATTGCAGGATCTAACAGCTTTCGAAGGGTACTTTTGTAACTTTAAAATTTGTAACTGAATTGCATTTGCAATGTACAATAGGTGTTTCGAAAAATAGATAAAAACATGCTATCAAATACGAGATCAAAAGAGCCGAGAGCTTTAATTATGTACCTACGGATTTTTTGTTATCTGTAGAAATAATAGTTACTCTTGTTTATGATTTTCGATTTTTATATAGGTAGTTGTAGAGAAACACATTTTTTGGCTTATTCAAAAACAATGGATTAACGACTGACTTTCTCGTAACTATCTATTTTTCCCATACAAACCTTTTGGCAGCTGTTTTCCGTTTTGCATGTTAATTAGAGCTCGTCAAATTATTTTTTTTGACTATCCTAATTTTCTCGTGAATCCAAATATTCACCAGTTAGGCTTACGCCACCTAGTCAACTTTAATAATTTCTTATTTTCAAAATCAGAATGTACCTACCTAGTTAAAGTTGACTTTAGACAGTTGGACATTTTATTAGGTAATAGGCATGAAATTGACTTATCATAGAAACTCTTTTCATTTTCCAATGATGCATGATCAAAAATAATTACCTAACCAGTTATAATAGCAGGAAATGATCTTTAGGGACTCTCACCACCCATATTTGATCGAATATAACTTAAAGAACTAAAACTAACGTAGTGAACTTCCATTCTCTTAGCCTCTAAACTAGGCTTATTTCCTAAAAAATCCCAGGATAAGCGAATTTTGTATAGTTGAAACGTATTAAAGAAGATAGCTTCTTGAAATGTCATCAAAGAGAGTTCTGTAGACACCAAGAAAATGAACCATGAAACGCTTTGAAGATTATAAGAAAAAGAATTATTAGAAAAAATCCGCAGCAGAGTACAGAAAAAGTTGTTCCTATACTCTTATTAGCTTTATGAGATCGAAATCATCGTAGTCATTAGGTTCAAGAAAAAAGCAAAAAAAAAGAAGTGTCCTATTAGAAGTTTTGGAAAAGTAAAAAAGACAATCTTTTAAAATTTGGTACATATACATTATCAATAGACCCTGGTATACCTTTTAACTGCAGCTTTATCGAAAGCAATGGCAATATTGGAGTCTCGAATGAAACATGAAATATTTGAGAATTACTTGATTATATTTTGGAAAAAGTACATTATATTTTGGTGAGTGCTTGGCCTTTCCGAATCAACTGAGTGTAGTTTACGTCAGCGAAAATGGGCTAACCACAGCAAAATAAGGCCTCTGCAATCATTGAATGGTTCTTTGGACTAAACGAATTTAGTAGATTAAATCATTCCAGAGGAAACTAAAAGTGTGTCATGCAATAGTTAACTAACACTTCCACCGAGAAAAATTTGAGCTACAATGACTCTGAAAACCTACAAAATTAGTATTACTTTTGTTTTTCTTTATTCTATACAAATGATTTTTGCTTAAAGCAGCTTGGGCCATGATTATATAGAAATATTTCGGAGAATCCAGAGAAGAGTAATCAAGATCCCATGTAAATTTGAAATGCCACTCCACCAGACCAGACTTGTCCAGCTCAAATTAAGGACATTGATGAAAAGAAAATGACAGGTGAGAATTTATAGAAGCTTATATGGAATGGCACCGGACTAATTTGCGTGCGCAAAGTAGCCCAATACCGCATTCATTTATTTAAGTAATATTATAGTATTTTGGAAACGTGGGTAGCGAAAGTATCTTTTTCAAGCATGCAAATAAATAAAATTAACGAAATACAAGTATTAGGGAGCACTTGTATCTTATATGGTATACTTCTCCAAGCAGTTACCATAATTTATGAATGGGTAAGAAATTGAAGACTGATTTCTCAGATAGCATCTTATAGAAGCAAGGTCGATATATTGAGCTCATATACCCATAGTGGCCTAAGAGCTTTGAACTAACGCGGTCACACCAGAAGACGTACTACCAGCGGTATGGTGGGTACCAAACCGAACCGATCGCACCAGAAGAAGCCAGCAGCAATTAGCAACGGTAAATTTGTGTTAAAGTGATTCTTCGCGCATACATGAATGAAGCAAAGTGCCTCAGGCCTAGTTAGTATAGCAATGCAAAGTTAATATTTCGTGTGTATTTGACAGTGACTGTGTGTGAGAGAGGTGCCTAGCCTAGAACCCTATAATGTCTAGGACCGGGATCTCCAGCAGCATTCTGTTATTGTTGTTGCAATTTTTAATTAGTGGTACCATCGGTCAGGATGATTCCTTAGCTGGCAGTTTCTTGTCAGGTACGTTTCAGCTTGTGTCAAAACTTATTTCGCTTTTCTTGTCTCGCTCACATAAAGCCCATACTGAACATCGCGCTTTTCTTGTTTTGGCGAACAACGGTATCCAGTGGTACTGTTATAAAATAAATGTGTGATAGTCATCGCATGTGTGACATTACACCTTTGAATACTTTCAAATTTAATTCATGAGGAAATGAAATTTCTTGTCTAGAACACAAAAAGTCTATTAGGGCAAACGCATTGAAAGTTAAAAGTAAATCAGTAATAGTGTTGTCTGCCTGACACACATTATCTTTTTTTTTTTTTTCTTAACTTGGAATAGAAACAATTTTCAACTAAATTAGTTTCTTTTCCATTTGCATTAGAATTTTAAAGACATGTCCCTATTTGCAGTTTTGAATTGTGTATTATTGTGTCACTGGAATATAAATATTGTTTATCCATTAAATGAATAATAAAAATGTAACTAAACGCGTGATATATTATTTTGATAGTGTATATATCTACAAAGGCGTAATTATGAATATTCTAAATGGGTATATAGCTGGTGGATTTTTTGATGAGACATTATTATGTGGTCACGATTCAGGGTACTAGACATGACATATACAGGGTGTCCCACCGGAAACCAAATCGATCTATACAATATAAAAAACTATTAGGAGAAAAATTTCGAAAATTTGTCAGTTTAAAAATGTCAATGGGGGCAGCTCGGCTAAAATATTTTCAAGATGGTGGCACTTCCGGTTATACCAGAAGTCTACGTCAACTTGCTTATTTTAAATGAGACAACCTATAAATTATTTCATTTTTGGTTTCTACTCAAGATTCTAGAAAGACTCCATGCATAATGTCTCATACCGTTGATTTTTTCCTAGAAGAAATATTTTATTTACAGTGTGTTAGAATTAAATTAAATTATATCACTTGTAAAATTGTAAATATATTTTATTATTTGTTTTAATTTCGTGGGTTAGAGGACAGGACCAAAAAAGAAACTATCAAGCTTTTGGCAACGTTTCGGAATATATTTTTCCTTTTTCAAGCCTTAAACTATTGCTTCTGGAGTCCGTTCAGGATGGACAAAGGCACTTCTCATCATAATATTTAAGGGATGCAATCAATTTTATTATTTGATTTGGGTTGGATTCCTTGTTCACAGACGACTTACTTCAATGGGTTTTTTTTATAATATTTTGATAAAAATTAAAACATGGTCTTCGAAAAATAGGCTTCAAAATAAAATTGAGAAAACTGCCGAAAAATCAATTTTTTCAAATGGAGTCCCCCAAATTTTATAACTTTATCCTATTTAGCATTAAAAATACGGGTTAAGTTCATGTGAAGTTGTCTGTTCCAAAAATGTTTAGTTTTCGAAATATTGCCAATTTATTATTTTTATATGGCGTTTTTGCTACCGATTTTATACACGAAATCTCTCTAGGATCTTGAGTAGAAACCAAAAATGAAATAATATATAGGGTGTCTCATTTGAAATAGGCAACTTCACGTATACTTCCGGTATAACCGTAAGCGCCACCATCATGAAAATATTTTTTAGCCAGGTTGCCCTCATTGACATTAGTAAGTAGGTGTTCTGTCAAATTTTCTGTATACAGTTTTCCATATATAGATCGATTTGGTTCCCGGTGAGAGACCCTGTATATAGTTTTAACCTTTTTTTCGGATTACCTAATTTACAAAAAATTTGATTTAATTTAAGAAAGGTCTCTAGGCGCTAACTTTTAGTTTCAAAAATTCATTTCTTCCATGTAATATCTTTCGATGTATTCAATATACCTATAATGCGTACTAACAAATAGTGAGAAGCAATGAAAATCATTACCTAGCTAATCTAAAACAACTTGAAATTCTTTGTACCTACTCCTTAATCTCGAAAGTAATTTGTGCTGACAGAAATATGCTAAGGGAACTTTTATGAAAATTAAATTCTCTCGCTATCCGCCCAATGGTAGAAAGCACACTTGTGACTTGATGATATTGTGATGAAGAATCCTTTCAGCCCAAATTTGGGCAACATTGTCATGAACGAGTTTGGAAAATCCAATCTAAAATTCTATAAATCTAGAAATCGAAGCGCGCCACAAAACAGTAACATGGGGAGAAACTATTAGATTTTTTATATTACATTAAACCAAGTCGGTTTTTTCTGATTGCGTATAAAATGTGATTTCAAAAACGGATTTATGAGGGCGCGTAATTAGTATAATGTTTCAAGTAGGGAAAGAGTTGATAGTCGTTCTTTTTTCGCGTGAATTCATGTTCTGTATTTGACTTATTTTCGTCGTTTAAATTTCAAAATTGTTTTGTATTGTTACAGTGCTTTAATAAAGTCGCAAGTTGTTCGGAATATTTTCCAGATGGATAACTCACAGGTCACAATAAAAGCGATAAGTGAACAATCCAATGACATCACCTCATACTATTAATTGGATTTTCGTTAGCTACAGACCAGTTCCCAACTTGTTAGTCCTCCACAGTGCACTGACCCAAATTATTCTTTCAATTCCACCACTTATCTTTATCATCATAGGCGAACACTC